CCCCGCTGCTCAGAGGTAGCAACTTTTGATGGAGGGAGGGAAGGTTGCTGTGCAGCCCAGCTGGCCAGCCGGCACAGCTGGGCATGGATAGCAGTGGGGGAAAAGTTCCCAGTGCGCAGGCCCCCACAGTTGTTCTGGCTGGCTTTGGGGTGCTGGGTCTGCATGGGGGAGGGGCTCTTCTTCATCCCTTCCCCCCATCACAGTGGAGGGGGGCAGATACTATGCTGGCTCCCCCCTCCCTGCAGCTAACTACAGGGGGTGGGGGTGGTGCTGGGCAACCACTTGGGGATGGCCCCACCTCAGCTAGGCTTGGCTGTCCTCAGCAATGCGTAGCAGACTGCAAAGCCTTCTGGCCTCGGCTACTGCAAGCAAATGCTTGCCCCCCTCAACTGAAGGGCGATTATGGGTCCCATTCACTAGCAATCCAATCTACACATCTTGGAGAATCCTGCATAGGTTGGATCTATTCTTCCTTAGGCTTTTTACTTAGCCATAGTAAGGGTGGAGTGATTTGTAGTCATGGTAGTCCAGAAAATGTACAAGAAGCAAGGATTTTTTTGTGATGTTTGGGGTAAAATATTCCAAAAAATCCTTGCATCTTGAACAAATACTTGAAATATGAAGGGTATGTAGCACCACAAAAATATAGTGCTATGAGGGCGCGCAGGCATTGTAGCTCCCTGTTTGGAAAGCTATGGAGCCACCTCAGAAGTGCACTCTCTAAGCAAAGAGCAAAATGAGGTTGCTTATTTGCTTCCCCTAACTCCAGGGCAGAAAGGCTGTTTCCAGTTGATGCCATGTGCAGGGGAAAGGCAGCCCACAGGTGCCTGTGGGGAAGATGTTATATGCTTTCCTCACCCCTGTGGGCAAACTGGGGACTGTGTTTGACAGCTGCTGCCCAAGGACCAGATCCAGTCCCAGGGCAGCAACAGTGGCTTGACAGCCCCCCAGCCACCCTTGGGTCAGGAAGGGACATGCTCCCTGCCCCTGCCACTCCTGCAAGTGAACCAGGACTTTCCCTGGGTTGCTGTGGGGTGGGAGGCAGATCCTGTAGCTGCCTTATAGGAACAGGGGCTTAATTACAAACCTTGCTGCATCAGTCAAGGGTTTGAGGTAATAGGAAAGGAATAGAAAAAAAATCAATACTGTATCGTTAAAGTAGTATGCAACAGCCTCTAGGACTATGGATATGTGGCTATTACCATGAGACTGAAAGGACCAGTAACATGACATCCCTCTGCTTTGGGAAGTGGTTGTGTTTTGTGTCCTAGGGGACTTATGCCGCTTTCTCAGACAGTTCATTGTGCAGTGCAGCTGCCACTTGACAAAATGGCTATAAGTATTTATCTCTGAACATGGCTTTGTTTTGTGGCAGCTCCCCAGACAGAGCCTGACACAGTCCTATTGTGAATTGCAGAAGGAACTCAGATGCGGCCTGGTTGTTCTGATGTTAGCTGACTAGGCTCCATCCAGAAACAATCCAAATATGCTCTTCCACACTCCTGTCATTAAAGGCTGCCATGCGTCTCATTCATAATGAGAGGTGCTTTTCATGCCCTTTACTGCTACAAAGAAACTCAGAAATCAAGATATTTCTCTTCACAAAATAACTGAGAATACTTTTTTGTTGGGGGAGGGAGATGTGGACTATGTTAATAACTAACAGTTTTATCTTAGACAGTAAATATACTGACTAAAAATGCACAGTCATGGAAATTTTTATAACTTAAACAATCCTATTTGTGATAAAATTTTAGAAATTAAAAAAACAAGTAAATGTCTTGTGTATTTCTTCCTCCACTTTATATGAAAGATTTGTTGGGTAAATTCTGTAAGAAACATGCTTTTTTTTTTCTTTGGAGTGCTGGTCATCAGTTCTTTTTTGAGTGCTTTTCTACAAATATTCCACTCTTGGCTGTATTGCAG